AGCAGGTGTGTTGCCGGATGTGGTGGGAGACCGAAAAAAAAGAAATGAAAAAGGAAAAAAAAAAAGAACAAGAGGGAGTGTATTGAGGATATTACTTATTATAATGTATTGTACAAGCGAAACAACGTAGATCTAAGTGCGTTTGCTTCCAACTTTACGTATTAAATTTGAACTTTTTAGTCGCATAGATTTAGTTTATTTGTCATTTTGTTGAGATAGTGTTTTGTATGATCATTGCTTTGTTCTAAGATTGAGAGTCTAAACTTTTTTGTGTGAGAATTACCATGTCTGTTGTTCATAATGTGTAGCCTGTTTATTATAAATTTTAAGGCATCTATAACATTGTATCCCTAATATCTGGCGGCTGACTGATTATTTCTTGTGACTCGTTAGGGCTGAGCACTGCAAAGCCTGGAGAAAGAAAGACGCTCTATAAAGTAATAGTCTGAATCTGGAAGGCTAAGGTGTTTGTGGGTGTGTGTGGGGGGGGGGGGGGGGGGGGGGGGGGGGGGAGGGCGAGGGTTTGGGAAAGGCCCTGAAGAATGAAACGATTTGAGAGATTGTTACACTGTGTTGCCTTTATTTTGTACATGTTTATAATATGATGTTATGAGTGAAACAAATGGAGATCAGTCACAATCTGTAAATATAAACATTCGAGTGTTTTGTGATTGATCAACCAACCAAAGAACCGGTCAGTAAATGAAGACCTTGTGTGTCTTAGGGCGCCAGTCACAGTGTGAGACGGGAGAGAAAGTTTTAAAAAACGGCAAATTAATAGTTTTTGAAATATTTGATAGTTCTTAATCGAGATAGACGTGCTTTGGACCATTCGGGGGGTTCCAGGGGAGCCTGCCCCACTGTGGCAAAAGAAAATCTGGGGGGTTACAGGGAGCATGCCCCCCTGTTTTAACCCATAATTTGATATATTACAGTTAGATTTGAAATTTTCTTGAAAATAATTGATTTGCGACAGTTTTAGTGGCTTATGTGTGATCTGCAGGAAACAGTACTACAGTTTGACCCCAGAAGCAGTGCATCTGTGTACGGGAGTGAAAGTAAAAATTTACCTAATTTGCGACGGAAATGAAGTTGATATTCGTGTTTAGCGCATCAATATTTAGTACAAAATGAACAACTGGTAGCTATGTGTGAGACGGGAGGGAAAGTATAAAAAAAATACAGGTAAATTTTTACTTTCACTCTTGCACACAGACGCATTGCTTTGAAGGCCAACGTGCACTATTCTTTGCTGCAGATCACGCATATAGCTACTAAAACTGTCGCAAATCAATTATTTTAAAGAAAATTTCAAACCCACTTGCAAAATATCAAGTAATGGGTTAAAATAGAGGAGCATCCCCCTCGCCCCCCCCC